TTAGTGAGTTAGTCAAGGCGTGAGGGCTGCAGTATAGGAGAGGTGTTGTGTTATTACCGCCTCGTTAGGATGTCTGCTGAAAAGGTTAGATCGGAAGCGANNNGGGGGGGGGGGGGGGGGGTTGGGGGTGGGGGTGAGAGGCATGGGTGTTTTATCTCGTGTTACGTGGTTAAGATGTATGCGTCATGTGCGCAGGCGAAAAATTATAAACCGTTCATATCTTACATATACATAGATGACGTTTGTAAGTCTATGTATATATACTAGCTGGAGCACGCAATTACGTTGTGTCTGGGAAATGCTGGAAAAGGTGCATAATCTATAATTCCCCAAAACTTAGTTGTATTGACTCTGTATTGAGTGGGTCGTGACGAGTACTGATGCTGTTTTCGGTGGCTTGTAAGATGCCACTGAGCGCAGCTATGAAGTCAATTAGCGAAGGAAGCAAATTACAATCATACTCGTGAATAGGCTTGTAACTGCTCAAAACTCTTCCAATAAGAGATCGAAATCTATACCGTAAGACGATACCAGTCAGACCTCTTAGCAACCGTTTTGTAGTATAGCCTAATGTGTTGATTCTTGACATACCCTTTTTTAAAAATTTACTTCAACTTAGCGCTAAAGCGTTCCACCACCTCTCTCCCCGTTTTTGTATTGATATTGACGTCACCGATGTGATGTGAAGCATATACCAAACCCACCACTCCCTTGATTGGGAAAATGTTGTTTACATTCTATTTGTTATCAATAATTCTATCGGTTGATGCAACTTCTAGTGTTTTTTTTTTCTGGGGGTTAATACTCCCTCTCTATAAATTAGCCGACAGCTTCCCCAGCCAAGAGAGAGAGAGAGAGAGAGAGAGAGAGAGAGAGAGAGAGAGAGAGAGACAGACAGAGAGAGAGACAGAGAGACAGACAGACAAAGACAGACAGAGAGATAGAGAGAGTGATGTTTGCTATTTTTTCCTTGACATTTAGGAGGCGTAATATTCTTACAAGATGTGTGTGTGTAAATTAATATTGGTTTCTCTTCAAGGATTGTACTTTTCCCCCTTTCCCCTGTAAGTTGATGCGTTTTTATTTCTATTTTATTTGATAAAACGTGAGCGCAGTCCCTCGACTATGATAAATTATTTTAGTTTTCTCTAGTATCTTTTGTTTAAATATATAAACGCAAGTACTGTAAAAATAATATATTGTTTTTTTATTTCGTTTTTTAAAGTATTCATGAGCACTGCACAAAACAATTGAGAAATTAATTTTCAGAGTAGAAACACACACTCTTACAAATATAATGCTGCAAAATTTCCAAAGTTGTAAGGATGAATTCTCAATTCACCGTAGCAACAGTCAAAGATCACAACATTAACAATACAGTTGCAATTATAAGGCATTTACAATATGCTGTCGCAAAAAATATTCTCAATGATCTTTTGCACTGGATAAAATCCCTGGCGATAAATTAATGTCAGACAGTGAACTGGCCGAAGCAGGCCGAAATTAAAAGGATCAAACCATAATAATAATTGTTAGTCAGTCAGAAATCGACTATGACAACCTTAATCATCGTACGTGCTGATTGTGACCAGGGCTGTGGGGGCTGATGAGACAGATTCTGGCACGAAATGTTCTTGTGCATTGAGTGCAGGGGATTGATGGGACATCTCCAGGCACGGAGTCAAACCAAAAGAAAATATCAAGACATCAACGGAGACGGCTTGTGTCGGAAACGATGAGTTGCTTGAAACTTGTGCAAGCCAAAGGAGAGTTTAAGTGTGAAAAAATGTTTGACATTTTCTCTCTTACGGTTATTGTTTGAAAACGTGCCATACGGGGCATCATACTTCAAATAACTACTCTATTATGTAAATATTAAATGGATTTTATAATTTGAATTTGTTTACATTTTTTCTTTCATGAACCTTTATATAAGCTTACATTTTTAAATGAATTTTGAAATGTTAGGTGTGAATATTCACTTTTTGTGAAGTTCCTTCATATGTGTATTTTCGATTTCTAAAATTTTCTCTATTTATTTCACAAACACGAATTAAAATTATTTGCAATATCATGTAAAATTTATTTAGTCGCCTAGCATTATATATTTTCTAGGATTGTTTAACAATATTTGAAATTCTCATTTTCGGTAAGCTGGGCTTATTGAGAAAGTTATCGTTAAGTATATTGTACAATTCACCTTTCCCTGTCAGTGTCATAACATAAATATAACATTTCGTTCAGCCGAGCCCGACATCATGTACCGATATCCTCCAGTTAAAGGCAACTCAGACCATATTAATCCTAAATGATATGGTTACCACTGAGTAAAAGTTTACTTCATTTCAATCAAAACATAGTAAATAATGGGCATAAATGTAAACATACGGGCAAAATTGTAAACATATGGGCATAAATGTAAACATAGGATGACAACACACCCACACTATCCTCCTTTTTTCTGTTAACAACACTATTATATCTTTTGAAAACGGATACCAGAGGTAGGAAGTCTCAATATAAAATTTATTTACTAAATTTAAAAACAAAATTTGTTAATTAAAACAAATCAACCGTAATGCCCCCCCCCCCACCCCCCCGCCCAAGACGCTTTATGAAACATAAGCGCATCCAGCAGCTCAGTCATCGTCTTTTTTCTTCATGAACATTAGGAACACTTGCTCCAGGCTGGTTTGTTGAACAGTGTATCTGGCGAACTTGAATTTCTCCTGAGCTTCCTGCAATGTATCAAAGATATCTGCCACTGATCTCCCTGTATCCGGAACTTGCATGTGAACAAAGGAGTCCAGCTGGTTGAAAATCTGTAACGAAAATGATGTCTAATTCTGTTTGTTCACGAATATGAAAAACAAAAGGACATGCCCATTGATAAAAATGCCACGTAAAAGGTAACTTTATTTGCAAAATTTAGTAAAAAATTTTTTTCAAAAAAAATAAATAAACAAAACAAGTGAGGGGCCCATTCAAGTGGGGGGACCATTCAAGAGAGGGGCCAAGTCAATTGAGGGACCCATTCAAGTGAGGAGCCAAGTCAATTGAGGGACCCATTCAAATGAGGGGCCAAGTCAATTGAGGGGCCAAGTCAAGTGAGGGGCCAAGTCAACTGAGGGGCCCAGTCAAGTGAGGGGCCAAGTCAATTGAGGGGTCCAGTCAAGTTAGGGGCCAAGTCAATTGAGGGGGCCAAGTCAAATGAGGGGCCCTGTCAAGTGAGGGGCCAAGTCAATTGAGGGGCCCAGTCAAGTGAGGGGCCCAGTCAAGCGAGGGGCCAAGTCCATTGAGGGGCCCATTGTAGCCACGGGCCCATTGTAGCCACGGGCCCAGTCAAGAAAGCGAATAAAATTAAAACTGTCTTACCTTGCTGTCTGAAAAGGCATTTATTACAAATTCAGTGGCTTCGCCCAACGCACCGAATTGACCCTGGTCGTCAACTGCTGCATGTAAGACGACGGTGTAGCCTTGTCCGTACTTGTTCTTAAGATACTGAGGGCTGCCCAGACACTTGAGATGGCCCTGTACCATGATGGCTACACGCGTACAGAGAGTGTCGCATTCCTCCATACTGAAACATTAAAGTGATCGTTCAGGACAAGTCAACCATCGTGAATTATGACATTTGTCTTGTTTCATTCAGATATCATCTTAGAAGATATGACATTTGTTTTAATCAGATATCATCTTTAAATAAATGACGTTTGTCTTGTTTCATTCAGATATCATCTTAGAATATATGACATTTGTCTTGTTTCATTCAGATATCATCTTAGAATATATGACATTTGTCTTGTTACATTCAGATATCATCTTAGAATATATGACGTTTGTCTTGTTTCATTCAGATATCATCTTAGAATATATGACATTTGTCTTGTTTCATTCAGATATCATCTTAGAATATATGACATGTGTCTTGTTTTATTTAGATATCGTCTTAGAATATATGAAATTTGTATTGTTTCATTCAGATATCATCTTAGAATATATGACATTTGTCTTGTTGCATTCAGATATCATCTTAGAATATATGACATTTGTCTTGTTTCATTCAGATTCCATCTTTGAATAAATGAAATTTGTCTTGTTTCATTCAGATATCATCTTACAATATGTGACATTTGCCTTGTTTCATTCAGATATCATCTAACAATATGTGACATTTGCCTTGTTTCATTCAGATATCATCTTAGAAAAAATGAAATCTGTCTTCTTCCCTTAAGGTGTCATCACGACAATATGACGCCTGTCATTTTTTGTTGTTGTTAAAATATCATCATCACTTTATGGCCTTTGTCTTTTTCAGTCATATTCCTTCAGATCTACATGACACCAGGCTTGTTTCATGTAAAATGTCGTAGCCGTCAGTAAATGTATAAGTCACTTTTTAAAAAAAGTTTTGGAATTTAAAAAAAAATGAATTCCTTAGGGTCAACTCATTTATTATACAACTCAATAAACAAGAACAGACTACCGTGGAGCGTACGATGGGAATTGTAGCACAGTCGGGATACTGATCGGAACGGGATACGATTCAATCCAAGTAAAAATTAACACACTGCCACCATTGCCTAAGTCAGTCAATAAACAAGAACAGACTACCGTGGAGCGTACGATGGGAATTGTAGCACAGTCGGGATACTGATCGGAACGGGATACGATTCAATCCAAGTAAAAGCCTAAGTCAGTGATTCTCAACCTTCCTAATGCCGCCACCTTTTAATGCAGTTCTTCATGTTGTTGTGTGACGATCCCCCCCCCCCAACCCTTAGATTATTTTCGTTGCTACTTCATAAATATGTGTTTTCCGGTGGTCGCGAACCCACAGATTGAGAACCGCTGGCCTAAGTGAATACACCTCCCACCTTACCTGTGCGAAGTGAGGACAAGAGTCCGACCGGATTTTCTAATCAAGCTGAGAACTCCCCAGACCGACCGCTTTGATATCGGGTCCATCCCGGCTGTCGGTTCGTCCAGCATAAAGAACGCTGGGTTACCGATTATAGAAATGCCCATCGACAGCTTTCTCTTAGTCCCGCCGCTGAGTATGGAAAAAAAATATTAATAAAATCCATTTTACGTTCAGCAAGTTTGACGTTTCCATCAATGGATAGATTGTGATGTTCAAGGCTTCTCAACTCATTGTTAAGACGTGGTACTGATTGTTTGACAAAAGGTTGGAAACATTTTTATAGTGCTTAATCAGTATTTAAAAAACAAAAAAAAATTTTTTGTTAAAGTAATATTCAACAAATTTTCATTTATAAATTAATAAAATTGATTGACTTTTTTTTTTGGTATGAAAAAGTACACATTTAAAAATGAAAGCCATACAAATCTTAGGTTGTGTGTTGCGTGTTACAACAATATTTAACAATTTTGATTACGTTCTCATATGATTATTCATAATTTTGGTTCATTGAGTCCAAAAAGAAAATTTGAATTTTGAATTGTTTCGAGTTCTTTGAGCCATTAACATAAATTTAAATTTAAGTTCGCAATTTAAAAAAAAAAAATTAGCTTAGTAATTAATAATAGTGGCACATAGGTGTAAAAATAGTAATACACAGATGATCAAGGATTGTTAATAAAATCATGTCTCTGTCCTTTTATACAATTTCTTAACTGTCACATTCAGATAAAATAATTAAAATGATTCTTTTACTATTATCTAGAATGTTTTCTTATTTATAATAGTAACAATAATTGATTCGATTTCCGTACAAATCAGTGTTTTTAAGACTTCAAATTAGATTTAGTAATTTTCATCTTTAACACAGATGTATGTGTGAGGGACATCACTTGGGTACGGCGGGGAATAATTTGCCCCCCCCCCCACACACTTTTTGTGTGTGTTGAATTTTCAGGTTTTATTTAAATTGCTATGCATGGTAGTGCCTCCAATAATAAACAACTTAACAAGCCGACTAAGATGTGAGTTTTACCCCCTCCCGAAATGACGCCCCTGGGTATGTGTGTTTTCAGCTACAGCAAGTTACATTCATTTCCGCTTAAATTGGGTTTGATATACATCAAAGAATATGCTAGCGTCATTCATTGTAAAAAAAAATAATTTGCAATTACAAGTAAATCAAAAGGTGGTTGACCAATAGATATTTGGCTTGGAATAGGCCACAACTACCCCCCACCCCCAACCCCGTTTAAATAATTTTACAACTTTAAATGATTTCTTTTCATCCACCTGTATCCATGGATCAACTCCGTCTCATAAGGATGGAGATCGACAAATGACACGACCCGAGCTGCTACCACCGGCAGGTCTTTTGCTGGCACGCCCCTGAGTCGTCCGTAGAAGAAGAGGAGCTCCGCGCCGGTCAGAAGGTCATTGAGTGCGTCGTACTGAGGACAGTAGCCCATTCTGGACTGAATCTACGGATTAAAGAACATTGCAAAATTTCTACAGAGGCCGGGAAAAAAAAAGCTCAATTAATTGTCATCTTGTATTTAAATGAAACTACATTGAGTCTAACGGCGAGAGTGAGAGAGAGAGAGAGAGAGAGAGAGAGAGAGAGAGAGAGAGAGAAAAATTCGCGACTAGGGTTTCAATCCTATATTAGTTGCAATAATAAAATCTTGATATGAATAAATTCACTGCTTACAGATTTCAAATACCACTTGATGTTCTTGCTCTCCACGTAGATGTCTCCGTCTGTGATGATGACGTCTCCGGTGAGCATCTTGAAGATCGTCGTCTTCCCGGCGCCATTCTGACCGAGCAGTCCAAAGCATTCGCTGGGCGCTACACCCAGGCACGTCGACTTCACAGCGGTGAACGTTGGACAATCGGACCAATTTAAAAGATATTTTTTTTTCAGGTTCAACATAATGATAGAGTCTGAAATAAAAAAAATAAAAAGTTTTATCAGTCAAGTAAGGAGGTCAGTCAAGTGAGGGGCCCAGTCAAGTGAGGAGCGCAGCCAAGCATGTGCGAGGGGCCCAGTCAAGTGAGGGGCGCATCCAAGAACGTGCGAGGGGCCCAATCAAGTGAGGGGCGCAGCCAAGCAGGGCTGGCCTTAGGCCACTGCAACCTATGCGGCCGCAGTGGGCCCCGCATTTTTTTTTCTAATACAAAAATCTTAATTTTCACTTATTATCCTTATCCCTACCCAGACTGGGCCCCGCGCAATCTGTTTCGCATAGGGCCCCGCAATTTGTTAGGGGCGGCCCTGGAGCTAAGCAAGTACGAGCGGTCTAGTCCAGCGAGGGGCAGGTGGAACTACAAAGCCGGTGCGAGGGGCCCAGTCAACCAGACCATCCTCACACAGCTGGCGAAACCAGAGCATAGTGCTTGCAAGGGCGTCTTAGTCTTATGGCTTGCAGGGACGTCTTAGTCTTATGGTTTGCAGGGACGTCTCAGAATTTTCCGGAATGTTGCGTCACCAGCGCAACTGCATCCACGGCTGTTGTCAGTAATGGGGTTTGAAACTCCGGCTCATGGGGTGTCGACACATTTCAGTTGACCACGCAGCCACCGGTCAGCCCATACACATTCAATAATACAAATGTATACTATCCTTAGATCTAAGAATTTACCTGTTTGGAACAAGTTGCTCAGTGGAGTTTTGGTAATTCTCTCCCTTTCCTGAGCTACGTCATTCTCTTCATCTTCTATCATTTCAGGCCAGTAGTCTTGGAAGATTGACCTCGCACAAGAGATCGGCCAGCACTTCAAATACCTTTCACAATGGATACGGTGAACATATTCTACCTTATTTTTGCAAGCAGTTATCATTCTCCTAAACCAATACGTCTAATGTATAGAACAGACTCTCAACTTGGCCCATCGATAAATATATTTAAATACTATTAAATACGACTCTGCCTAGCAAAGAGTCACTGATTAAAACTGTGGAAATAGATGAACCTTTTAATATCGCATGGACCTATGAACATCATATGAACTCATGAATATCGCATGGACCTATGAAAATCATATGAACTCATGAATATCGCATAGACCTATGAAAATCATATGAACTCATGAATATCGCATAGACCTATGAAAATCATATGAACTCATGAATATCGCATGGGCACCTGACTATCAAACCCTAACACAATTATTCTGCCCGATGGCTCATTTGATGGATTGTTTTATCATGCATTCCTTAAACGTAAGGGAAAGGGGAGGGGGGGGAGGGCTCAGATTTTTTTTTGGATCACAAAATCATCCCTCAATTGTTAATTATAAAAATGGAATCGTTCGGGGTGGGGGGAGGGTCAGCCTTTTCTGTGGATTTAACTCCGATTGCAAGAGCTTAAGGAATTTCGTAAAAATAATTTGGAGTTCCAGTTGGTGAGAAGTCGTTCCACTCAATTTTTATGGTGTGCATTTGCCCTTTCTTCCGGTTCTCTTCTACACCATGCATATGACTTATTGTGAAATAAGAGACAGTCTAAATGCCACACGAGTTTGTGAATTGAGCTCTTTAAAGACTTAATACGCCAGATTCTAGATAGCTCCTTCCGATCTGATTGCCAGTGCAAAAAAAAACAACAAAAAACAAACAATATTCCTACACCCGTTTCGCTTGTGATGTTGGTGAGATGCCATTTGCTCTTGAAGTGGAGCCGATTGCTTTGCAACTCAACCATTTGTTACGCTTAAGACGACCAAGTGTTCTAGTTTAAAAAGCGTCACCCGGGTCGATTCATTCCCAGCACTCGCCACCTCCCGTCTTGTGTGAGAGGACATTCTCAACCATGAACCAGCAAGTGGGATCTGGTCACGTCGCGTCTTCAGCTGGCGAGAACGTGCGAGCAATCTTGACGCTGGAGAGAACCAGCTTAGAGGGTCGACTAAATATCACGATTCCGTAAAAGCGCCAGTTTTATGTTTCTCGCTGACGTCAACATTTGTGTGTGCGTACAGTTCAAATGTTTTCCATCTTATAACATTTGATTTTGGTAAATAGTTTAAATTAACGTAATAGGTCTGTTAGAAAAGCAGTAACTTCTTGCGTCATTTCACATCTCCAAATAGGACATAAAAATCGATGGTATTTGTTTTGCTTCAAAAATTCGTGAGTTATTCTGATTTTTTATTGATCACAATTTATCCGGCCCTCGACCCGTCGAGATCCTCTTACCAGCCATGGTCTCACCACCCCTTGTTATTGTTTTAATGATAAGCTTCATAATAAAATATATATCTTGAACAAATGTAATCATTTTTTTTATCTTGTGCTTATTTAAGAAGTACATTTCAACAATAACATGAAGAAAAAAAAAATCAGTATTGTACTGGTAAAAAACGATCGAATGGTTATCTTGGTTCTTGTCAATAATGGTCAACTGGCTTGTAGTTAGCAATACATTTTCTAACTGTTAAGTAATACTAGCAGCATCACATTGCACCACGTCAATATCAGACCTTAACACATCAACATCAGACCTTACCACATCAACATCAGACCTTACCACACAAACATCACACCTTACCACACAAACATCAGACCATACCACATCAACATCAGACCTTACCACATCAACATCAGACCTTACCACATCAACATCAGACCTTGTCATATCAACATCAGACCTTACCACATGAACACCAGACCTTACCACATCAACATCAGACCTTACCACATCAACATCAGACCAATGACATCTTTGGGGTTTCGTGCAAACAAGGACAGGCCATGAGTTTAGCAGCCACCCATCAATCATGAAAATTCTGCGACGCCCCAAATAATGAGACAAAAGTACGTTCTCCCCCCTCCCCCCCCCCATGTTCCAGCCCCTACTAAAAGTTTTCCTAGGGCACTATTTAAGAGCTTACCACGCCAGACTCAGACCTTATCACGCCAGACCCAGACCTTACCACACCAGACTCAGACCTTACCACATCAGCCCCAGACCTTACCACGCCAGACTCAGACCTTACCACATCAGCCCCAGACCTTACCACGCCAGAATCAGACCTTACCACGCCAGACCCAGACCTTACCACACCAGACTCAGACCTTACCACATCAGCCCCAGACCTTACCACGCCAGACTCAGACCTTACCACACCAGACTCAGACCTTACCACATCATCCCCAGACCTTACCACAACCTTCTGAGATATTAGCACATCCGACAGACTATAACACAGCCTTCTGATATCTAATCACATCACACAAATACCTTACCACCGTATCCTGAGATCTTACCACATCAGACTCAGACCTTACCACAGCTATATAAGATCTTAACCACATCAGACCCAGACCTTAACACAGCTGTATGAGGTCTTAACCACATCAGACCCAGACCTTACCACAGCTATATGAAATCTTATCCACATCACACTCAGACCTTACCACAGCTATCTGAGATCTTACCACATCAGATTCATACCTAACCACAACCTTCTTTTCTTACCACAGCAACGTCAGAAGATCCCATTCTATGCACATGATTATCAGCCAATAGGATATTTGTTGAACTAAATGGACGAGTAGGTAGTAGTCAATGCGGAAGTCGTCATTGGGATCAGGCCCAAAGTAACCATCTAGAGATAAAATAGGTAACTGGTTATAGCAAATTCCGCCTTTTAAACACAGTGACATCAGCCTGCAATAAATCCCACCACTTGAAGAAAGTCCCAACAGCCTTGAAAACATCCCACCATTTTGTCACAGTGACAACAGTCTGCAACACATTCCGCCACTTTAACACTGTCACAGTAGCCTTCAACACATCCCACCATTTGAAGACAGCCACTATAGCCTGCTTTCTCCGTGATAGATAAGTCACGAAACATAGGCCATGACAGACGTAACATTCACAGAAAATAGTTTTGTTCCGGAAATCATTTCTGCCATGTAAACGGTCCAATGTGAATGCATTTGGGTACTCTTAGCACTACATTTGAAATACAACTTCAGACTCGACTTTTCATTATCCGAGTGAGCATGGATGTCTGTTAAAGGAATGTGACCACAGTCTGTGATGTATCCACGTGTAGTGACTATTCTTTGGTCACTGCACTTAACTAAGCCATGTTAAAAAGGAGACATAACCAGGCGTCATTGAAAAGTAGACATAACCAGGCGTCGTTGAAAAGGAGACATAACCAGGCGTCATTGAAAAGGAGACATAGCCAGGCGTCATTGAAAAGGAGACATAATCAGGTGTCATTGAAAAGGAGACATAACCAGGCGTCATTGAAAAGGAGACATAACCAGGCGTCATTGAAAAGGAGACATAACCAGGCGTCATTGAAAAGGAGACATAACCAGGCGTCATTGAAAAGGAGACATAACCAGGTGTCATTGAAAAGGAGACATAACCAGGCGTCATTGAAAAGGAGACATAACCAGGCGTCATTGAAAAGGAGACACAACCAGGTGTCGTTGAAAAGGAGAGATAACCAGGTGTCGTTGGAAAGGAGGTGTAACAGTATAGCTAGTGTGTGCTAGTTTGATGTTGGATGGAATCAATTGAGGCACACAAATGTGTTGATAAAACGGACGAGTTTATCCAGCCATGTCGGAAAGGTAGTTTTTTGAGATTATGGGCTATAACAAAGTTGTGTTATAATTTGAGGCCGACAGTAAAGATAAGTAATCAACACAGAAGTGAACATATACAGCTATCACGTACTAAAAGGGAGGTTGTTAATTTACTATGTATGTTCAGTATTATATCAATAAAGTGCCTGTGGCTGGTGACACCAAGTGTCGCGATAACTCATTCAATGACATCGTTGATGTCTTGACGTGGCAGTGGCAGTTAGAGACTATCACCCCTGTGTCACTAGCAACCGGGTGAACGGCTACAAGAGGCATA